AGATGAAAAGTAAATTTTTATTTTTCATTCAGCGACTAAATTATTTTAGATGCCAAAACTATCTATACAGCGACTAAAATATTTTTTAGTCGCTGAAATTAAAGTTTTGCCGACCAAACCTTTGGTCGCCAAAGATAAAAAGAAAATTTTTCTTTTTCATTCAGCGACTAAATTATTTTAGTTGCCAAAACTATCTATACAGCGACTAAAATATTTTTTAGTCGTTGCAATTAAATTTTTGCCAACCAAAAATTTGGTCGCCAAAGATAAAAAATAAGTTTTTATTTTTCATTCAGCGACTAAATTATTTTAGTTGCCAAAATGATCTATACAGCGACTAAAATATTTTTTAGTCGCTGAAATTAAAGTTTTACTGGCCAAAATTTTGGTTGCCAAAAATAAAAAGTAAATTTTTCTTTTTCATTCAGCGACTAAATTATTTTAGTTGCCAAAACTATCTATACAGCGACTAAAATATTTTTTAGTCACTGAAATTAATTTTTTGCCTACCAAAAATTTGGTCGCCAAAGATAAAAAATAAATTTTTATTTTTCATTCAGCGACTAAATTATTTTAGTTGCCAAAACTATCTATATAGCGACTAAAATATTTTTTAGTCACTGAAATTAAAGTTTTGCCGACCAAAATTTTGGTCACCAAAGATAAAAAGTAAATTTTTATTTTTCATTCAGTGACTAAATTATTTTAGTTTCCAAAACTATCTATACAACGACTAAAATATTTTTTAGTCGTTGAAATTAAATTTTTGCTGACCAAAATTTTGGTCGCCAAAGATAAAAAGTGAATTTTTATTTTTCATTCAGCGACTAAATTATTTTAGTTGCCAAAACCATCTATACAGCGACTAAAATATTTTTTTAATTGTCAATTGTGGCAAATTTAGCGACTAAATTTTTTTAGTCACCAATTGTGAGATTTTTAACGACTAATTTTTCTTTTAGTCACTAATAACCAATATACCCCGATTAAAAAAATTTAGTAGCTAAATATTGTACTTTTACGGACTAACATAATTTTTGGTCACCAATTCCACAACTTTTGACAACCAAAATATTTTTAGTCGACAAAAGTGGTCGCCAAAACTATGTTTTCTTGTAGTGAAAGATGAAGATTTGAGAGTAGAGAGAGTTTCCGGCGGCTGAATGAAGAATTTGGGGATGGCAGTGACACCGGAATCGAAGAGGCCTTTGACGCCGATTTTGGAGTCGCCGAATTCTTTCACTTCCTTCATGCGACTGCCATTTTCCTGGTGTGGTGCGTTAATGGTTTACTTTTCATTATAGTTTCATTTATAACGGGTAAATTACAATAATAAAATGGGTAATTGTTCTTCCATACAATAATAAAATTACTTAAATTATTAATTGAAATACATTTCTAACATCATTAAAAATTATTAATTGACTTGATAATTTATTAATAAAATGGATAATTTGTTATGAAATTAGAAACCTCAGGGGGTGGAATGTAATTTTAAAAATCACAAGGGGCGATTCGTATTTTAATCAAATCCCAAGGGTGTATTTGTAATTTACCCAACGATGTTGATTGCAAAATCAATAAAAAATCGGATAATTTTATATAATGGTAACAAAAGATTTCTTAAATAGATAACAAATTTTTATAGGAGGAAGAATCCTAAAAAAATCCTAACAAAGGAGAGACACAACCTCTACACAAGAAGATTATTATAGCAAATAATAAAAAATAAAAAAAGTAAACTGAAAACAACTAGATCCAAGTCGCTAGACCCATCCCACCTCCACTGATCAAGATGGAACATTGAGATTGAGGTGGTCACCTAACGTGAAACGAACGCTTTAGACAGCGTTGGTTTTCGGATTGTGAGAAGATCTGAAATTAATTTTAAAGTTTCGCGCGTGATGGTGAAAATTTGGACGCAAGCTAAACATCAGATCTGGAGAAGATTAAAAAATTAATTTTTTTATATTTAATTTTTTTTTTTTTGTGAATTTGTGATATCACTTATGTAAATTTACGTGAATTTGTATTCAACTTACACATTTTTTGTGAGATCACTTATGCAAGTTTGTGAAAATTTACGTAATTTTACGGTAGGGTTGCATACAGTATGCATTGCTTACCAAAGCATTGCCACTACAACTTAAATTTAAATTTGACTTTCATTACGGGTCTTATTCAATGATCTAAATTGTTGATTTTGTAAAGCCTTCATATATATCATTCATAAAAAAAAAATCACATCAATATGATAATCCTAACCTTATCATTTTATTGTGGTTGTCTGTTTTACACATGTGTCAATTTTTTTTTATTTATGGATTAAGACAAATGCAATAAAATAAAAAAATTATGATTATTGGTTCAATTTAAATTTTTTTTATGAAAAATATAAATAAGAGTCTAATAAAATAAATTATTCAGATCATCGAAATAGAACTCGTGACGGTCCTAAAAGTTTGAATATGACGATCAAATTTAAATTGAAATTGAGAGAAACCTAACCTTTTTGTTTTTGAGATTTTAAGAATAAGATGGATTGTGAAGATTAAATTATTAATTTAAACTCTTTGGTTAAAATTTAAAAAAAAATGAAATGGTTATGGTTTGAATGTGATATTTTATTTTATTGATTTTTTAGTCTATTTCGTCTTTTTGTAACTATTTTAGCTAAAAAGTTCAAAAAAACTATATGCCAAACAAGCTGCTGCCGTTTGGCATGTGGTTTTTTAGTTAGTTTTTTGACTTTGATTATTTTAGCTCCAGCTAAAAGGTTCATTTGGTTTGGGTTAAATTTTTTGACTTTTGTGTTAGAAAAAATAAAATGATTATGGTTTGAATGCGACATTTTGTTTTATTAATGTTTTAGTCGATTTTGTCTTTTATGACTAATTTAACCCAAAAAGTCAATGTCAAATGAAGCCTATTATGTATAATCTAATAATATAAGAATATTAATAAGTATATAAATTATTAACCTTAATTAATTAACCTTATCATCTTTATAATATAAGTTTGTAAACTCTTATTATATATAATTTTAACTCTAACTCATTATTCTTGAAATTTTAGTATTTTTTAACTTTTTTTTGTTGTTATTTTTGTTAATTTAGAAATTGAAAAGTATTTATTAAATGGATAGATTGAATATATTGGAAATGATGAAAAAATAACTAATTTAATGTTTTTATATACATTAGCGATTATATTTAAAAGTGATTTAAGTTTGAAAAGTCTTAAATCGATTAAACCACACTACAAGAATTAACACTTTTGGCAACAAAAAAATTGGTCGCTAAAAGTCGATTTTTGGTCGGCAAAAGTTATCCGCGACCAATTTTTTTTGTCGCTAGTTTGGTCGCCAATTGAGGGTCGGCAAAAGTAATTCGCGACCAAAATTTTCGTTGGTCGGTAAAAGTTGGATTTGCCGACTAAATTTTTGGTCGCTAAATATATCATTACTGCGACTAATCTATTTTGTCGCAAAAACATTTTGGTCGCGAAAAGTCGCCTTTTGCCGACCAAATATCTTAGTTGCCAATTGTCACATTCCACGACCAATAATTTTGGTCGCCAATTGTGACATTTCGCGACCAATAATTTTGGTCGCCAATAGTCTCATTCTGCGACCAAAATTTGTTTGGTCGCCAATTGTGACATTTTGCGACCAAAAAACTTTGTCACCAATTGTGACATTCTGCGACCAAAATTTGTTTGGTCGCCAAATGTCACATTTCGTGACTAATCACTTGGTCGCCAATTGTGACATTCTGCGACCAAAATTTTTTTGGTCGCCAATTGTGACATTTCGCGACTAATCAATTGGTCGCCAAAACTATAAAAACAAAACCAAATTTTGGTCGCCAACATCCAACAAAATAAACCTGTAATTTATAATAATCCATCCAATTTATTCAATATAATCTGTAAAAAGAAGAAATCATTCAAACCAACAAATAAGTTGAATCATCAACATTCAACAAAATACATATATCAACCATTTCTGAACCTCTTTAATTAAAGTCAGCAACTATTATAAGTTTACATCCACAAATAATTCGAAACTACATATTTCATCTAGCATAAAATTTAAAACATAACAAGTACTTGTTATTATGTTTGAAATTTTTATCCATGTACATCAACCCAAAAAAATAACTACTAGTCTACCAAATATTTTCTATACACACCCATCAAAAAATATAACTAGTAGTGTATCCAAAAATATAACTACTAGTCTACCCTAATATTTTCCATATACATCATACAAAAATATATAATCCTTCCAAAAATGCAAAAAGTGCCAATTTGTCCTGTACAATTTAGCTTTGTGCATGAGTTCATCCATCTGAACCAAAGAAAAAGATAAATAATGTCAGTTAAAATTGGACAAATAATGAAAAATGTCGATGAAAAGCAAAGGTCACATTAGCAAATTAAATTACTACCATTATCAAATTGTAAATAAAACAATAGAGAGGAGCTAATTCAGAGCAGTTTTGGACCCCAAACGCCCCGGTTTTGCCTACTTTGTCACTTTTGTGTCCTACATAACTAATAATGCGTCCTATCGAAGCATTGCTTGCTTTCACAAGTTTGTTTGATCTAGGCTGAGGTGACCACTACGATCTCGGGTTGTTTCCAGGCTGTTTCCAACTATTTGCCCCAACCGGCTCGTTTTTTGCCTTCTCTATCACATTTTGGTTTCCATGGAAAAGTCAAAAATTCTTGTTTAACTATTCATCCTTGGATCAGTGGAACATTACAATGTTTAAAGTTTCTATACTGGTCAACATAAACTAAGCTGTAAATTCCATCTTTTATATAGTTAAACAAAAATTAGTTTAAAGACAATCATTTCCCTATGATATTCTCATCAAACGTTTATTTGCCTTTACTTTGAACATAAATATAATCAAATATGGTTTAACACACTTACCAATTACCATGACTATCTATTGTCGAGAATTTGGTAGATTGCGATTTTCCAAAACTTGCGCCAACATGCTCTGAAGTCCAAAAAGCTGTCGCTGCATCTCCTCACGTTGTCTTGTATTCTCTGTCTCTTTCATTTGTAAAAAAGCTATAAAAAAAAATTAAATTAAAATTTTAAAAAAAAAAGATACTAAATATCACTACTGAATGAATAGCAGAGAGAGAGTGGTTGAGAGATGACTATCAGTTTCACTTACTTGCCTACAAAATTAACATACTAAATATGCACTAGTTCATTTTGATGACGATGAGCTGTAGAGTGTGTAGAGATGGCTTGGGATTCTTTTGGTTTTTGCTTCATGGCTTCAATCCGTTCTAAGATATCTACAACTTCTTTCATGGGGGGGCGTTTTCTAGGTTCTGATTCCAGGCACTGTATAGTGAGTTGAGCAGCAATCAACGCTGCCTTTGAAGAATATTGCCCTTCTATCCGCACATCCATAATTGATTTCAGCTTCCTTTTGTTGGAGAGAAAGGGCTTTGTCCAATCAATTAGATTATGCTGCCCACTGGGGCGTTTGGAATCAAGTGCCCGCAAACCTGTCAGCATTTCCAGCAGCACAACACTGAAATCGTACACGTCGCTCTTCACATATAAATGACCTGTTGAAAATTTGAACTAATTCATTTTACCACAAGGGACGGGTTTTTTTATTTTTTATTTTTCGACCTAGATCATATGAACTATCAACCAAATAAAACATATAAGCAGGAACCTTTGCCTCTCATGTGCTTGTTCATAGAAGATGTCTTTTAGGAATAATTTCTATGGTTCAATTCTCTAAACATTTTAACAAAAAAGGATTCATATTTACCTGTTGCAACATATTCTGGAGCAGCATAACCATATGTGCCCATAACTCGTGTTGTCACATGCGATTCTCCACCTGAGGGCCCCAATTTCGCCAAGCCAAAATCTGAGATTTTTGCATTGTAGTTCTGTAAAAAGAAAACAAAACACACAAAAGCTTTCAGAATAATTGTTTTCCATGTTTGCCCCATTTTATCTTAGGTCATGTTTGTTTCAATGGAAAATGCACAGGATGACTCTCATTACATGAATGCCGTTAGAGGAAATATCTATCTACATGATTGTGATGTTGATACACCACTTGTTTTGTTGAATGATTTAAAAGGATGAAATGGCAGTCCCTGTATTCTAGATAAGTGCTCAAGTCACTCTCCCAAGTCTTGAGAGCTTATTATAGACCTTGTCATTAAGAAAACACAAATAACAAGTACTGGCCAGAATTCGTGATTCGTTCCTCACTAGGAGGAGGTCACAAGTTTGACTTTCCCTCCCCCTCTAATTGATACAAATTTTTGCAAAAAAAAAAATATGGATACCTAGGGGTAAGCCAAAACCCAGGTTCAAGCCCCGGGATCCTCTTCCCCTCCCCTTCCCCGACCCAAAAAAAAATGTACTCAACTCTTTTCTTACATTCCCTTGTCACTCAAACAGAGGACACACATTCCATTCCAAGATAGTCACCATATTCAAAGTTCCTTTTCCTACTTATTCTTATTGTCACTGCCTTTTCAGAACACAAGTATAAACTTACGATCATTAACTTACGAGGCACGATCATATAAATTCTCACCCCATCAAGCAGTATATTAGATGCTTTGAAGTCCCCACCAGTGCTCGCATGGTGGAGGCCAGCCAAAACAGTGATCACCATCCTTTTTAGGTGAACCTTATTGATTGAGTACGAAAGCACCACGTATGTGCATATGACTCAGTGGTGGTGCTATGAGAGTAATGAATAATTTTCCAAGAGAATAAATATAAGGGTGATTAAGAGACGGATGTTATTGGATATAACAAACCTCCACACTTATAGCCAACAGGACGGTCAGAGAGGTTGCAGCGTTTGGGAATGGTTATGGCAATTTCAGGGTTGACTCCAGAGTTTTTAGCAGTGTTGGAAAGCATAACAGTGCAAAGGCATCCAGGGTTCTGGCCCAACTTCTTCACCTGAACAAATATAAGGGTGATTAAGAGACGGATGTTATTGGATATAACAAACCTCCACACTTATAGCCAACATGACGGTCAGAGAGGTTGCAGCGTTTGGGAATGGTTATGGCAATTTCAGGGTTGACTCCAGAGTTTTTGCAGTGTTGGAAAGCATAACAGCGCAAAGGCATCCAGGGTTCTGGCCCAACTTCTTCACCTGAAGGCAGCAAGCACTAGAAGGTGTAGCATTTTCATCCTTTGCTGCTGATGCACAAGGAATCAACTTGAAAGCTTCTGTGTCTGGAGAAGCCTTTCCACATTCACCAGCCCCATTAACCCCTCCAAGCTCTGCAATGCCTAGAAACAAAAGAAACCCCAGAACACAAATGTACTTCTTTGGAGCTTCCATTTCTTTTACTGCTGTGTGTGTGTGTGTGTAGCTCAAACTCTTTGCAACTCCATGGGCTTTATAGAAAAAGATGACTGGATTACCAACTAGCAAGTAGGATCAGCATAGTTGGTGGGTACACAAGAAAACCCACAAAGTCAGTGGAAAGAGCACTAGACCAAATTTTGTTGTTTCTATGTCAGCCCTTGCTCCACTTAAGAAGGGGTTTTGAGGGTTATCTGGCAATTTTTAGCCAATGAACACTCAGATGCCTGCCAAAGTCATCACTCACACTTCATTATTTTGTTCATCCTTGAATATGCAAAGGGAGTTTATCACAAAAAACTGTCGGTGACAATGACAATAAACTGTCGGTGACCAATATTTGAAGATCACAACGCCACCCATACTCTGGAATTTTGTAATATCTGGTGTTGATTATTGCAAGAGTGGAGGGTTTGCTAAAATGGTGGGCTGTGGGGAAAGGGAAGTCTTGGATATCTCGAGCTTGGCAGGCTATCCCCTCTCTCGTGTTTTGGTCGGTTTGGAAATTAAGGAACGAATGTTTGTTTAAGGGTGTTGCACCAGACTTTGGAGGATTAAGCGAGAGAATGAAAGTTCAAATAGCACTGTGGATAAAATGGTTTTTCAAGGTGGACTATTCAGTTCATGATCTGGTATCCAATTTGCACCAGATAAGACTGAATGCTGGAAGTCTTCAAAGGTAGTAAGTGGCAGCAGGCTGGGTCGCTCAGCTGTAGTGAGCAGGGTGTGGGCAGCATGTTAAGGTAGCTCTGTCGTGAGCTGGAAATCTACTTGGTGGCTGCCTAATCTAAGAGTGAGGTTCCAAGTTTGGTGATTTCTTTCAGAATCAGTAAAAGTCTAAGCTTTGCCGGGAACATGGTGTTTAGAATGGTTTAATAATCTCATTGTTTCCCTCTTCTGTTTTGGTCCCTTAGCGAAGTGAGGGGAGTTTGTATGCTGCTGGTTGTCTTGTTTCTGTTTTTTGGTTTTCTCTTTGTGTTGGATTCTCTCCAACTGGAGCTCCGAGCTTAATGTAGCTCAAAGCACAAACCACAATCAGAGCTCAAAATGAAAATTGAGATCAACCTGCATCAATGCTACCAAGCTCATTATCTGTGTCCACAAAATCTACGTATCGAGCTCAAGTCCTCTGGTAAATTATGGCTTGCAATTTTTCATAGGAATTTTGAAGAGCTGAGCTTGTTTGGTTTGAATTTTTACGATTTACTTTTCAAAAAAATTGAATTTTATTTTTGTAATTTTTTTTTTCACTAAATTTTTTTAATATTCTAAACAATTTTATTAATTTTTAAATACACCAAACATAAATACACTTCAAGAATATAACATTTGTGAAAAAAAAATCTTTAAAAAATTCACTAAATATCAAAAATACAAAAAAATAAAAAATAACAAAAATATGAGAGTTCAATACATTTTACGTATTCTTGTGTATTTATTGATTTTTTTAAAAAAAAAATTTACAAATATTTTACTTTTTAGATGCATAGTAAGATGCATCAACAAAGTAAAAAATTTGCTTAAAACTCAATTTCAAAAAAATTAAATCCAAAATATTGAAATCAAACACACTTTCCTCCTATGATGCTGCTTACGCAATTTTTCTTATTTTGCACCTTATAGAGTATGCTTAGATCTTGTATTCCTGGAAGGGGAAAAACAATTTTTATTTTGTTCCTTTTTTTTTCCTTTTCACTACACATCCAATGTTGCACACAAAACACACAAAAGCTTTCTTTTCTCTTTTTCTTTTTTTGGGACATCAATGTTGCAAAAACCATTGTGTTTACAAGCCTGGTGTTCAAGTATTTTAGAGCTAGAGAAACCGGCTTTGAGCAAGGAAAATGAGCTCCACTACTATCTCAAATATTTTGACCAATCACTGCACAACTTAAGAAATGTCAAAAATATGTTATGCAATACATAAATTTGTATACACAGTCAAAGTTGGACACAAATTAAAAGAGCCCATGCCAATTACAAATCTAGGAAGGGATGTGCACTGCCTCCAAACCCACCAATTTTCATCGGCTCACAGGCTCACATTAAGGGGTTAATGGGGAGGAGAGCACGAGCTTCCTCATCCTATTCAATATAGATTTATAATTTAACCTTAAAAGGTTGGTTATCCTTCATTTTGCAAAGACAGCCAATAAAATTATGTTACAACCATCTCTCTCTCTCTCTCTCTCTCTTCCATTCATAAAACAAATAGAAGAAAACACACAATTCAATCTCTAGTATGCCTCTTCTATCATCCTCCTTCCTCCCAAAATTTTCATCCCTTATTATACCAAAGGTAACATAAGAAAAAACAAAACATATTTTGACAACACAGATGACAAAGCGGACAAAGAATATAATGGAACTTGATCCATGAGGCCAATTGGGCAAGCACACTCCTAAACTTTAAAAAATAATAAAAAATAAAAAATAAAAAACCCATAGATCAATAATTTTTCTATGGTTTATCTCATCAAGCATCATATTATTGCACATATGAACACCAAAAAATGTATGCATATGCATCAAGACACCCTTCAACCAACAGAATTCTTCTCTTTCATTGCATTATCTTTGAAATAGTTACGAACAGTGTTATTAAATGTGCACCTAGGCCAAAGTCCCACCTAGGCCCAAGGTTTTCACCTTGCAGTGTTCCAAGCTAGGCAACTTTGATAAATCGCACTTAAGGCGTGCGACTAGGCCAAGGCGCAAAAAAGCCCAAGGCTTGCGCCTTGAGGGCTTCTTTTTTTTTTTATTTATTTTTATTGTTATTTTGATTGGTTTTGTTTAAAATCTAACCATTGATTAAACATGATGCAACTATAAAAGATCCACACTCTTAAGTACACATGCCAATACATTGGGCATTCAGCCACAAATCAACAATAGAAGAAAAATTTGTCTTAATTTCTAATCTCTAAAGAACACTTTACTACTGCCTGCTTTCGTTATCGAGTCCAGCAGCTCCAAAAAATCTTCTTCACGTTGCTATCTTCTTCTTCTTACATTTCTCTCTCATTCTTTTCTCTTCTCTTCTTCTCTACATCGTTGTCTTCTCCACTTCTCTTATCTACGTTTCTTCTTCTCTACATTGTTTTCTCGTACAAGGTACGCCTCACTTCGGTAAAGCCTGCACCTCACCTTGTGTCTTGCGTCTTGCACCTGGGCCCCAAGAGACATTGGCGCCTCGGTGCGCCTATCGCTTTTAATAACATTGGTAGCCAAAATTCAAGGAAGCTATCTAATGGTGTGCTTGACAGACAAAAAAATGCAAATACCTAACTCATGACAGATTTCAATATGTCACATTATCAATAAGATCACAAGATTACAACATAATATTAACCAACAAATTCTTCCCTCTCAATGCGTACTCTTGGAAAGAAAAGAATTCAAGGAAAGTATCACGTAGAGGGCTAGATATATAAATGAGTTGAAGGTACCTCATCAAGCAAGTTACTCTTATCTCCAATCATGACTCAACTCTTCACTAAAGATTAGAGTAAAAATTTGAACAAAATTTTCAGTGGATCTATAACATTATCACTATTAAACTTAAATTTTAAAATAAAATCTCATCTATTCCTTGCAAATGGCTAATTAAATAATGCTACATGTCACCAAATAGTTAGAATTTGAGTTTGCAAAAGTATCTCCCTTTATTTGGGTAGAAAAATGATAAACTCAATTTGATATGAGTTTGAGACAAAATGGAGGCTAGAGAGTGGTTTGGAGTGTGTTCTTAATCAAATATGAACTTGAGTTATAATTTGAGCAAAGACAACATCTCCAGTCCTTACTTTTTACCCATATCAAATTTAAATGGAATTATTATTAAGGCACTAGATGGCAAATTCATTACACTTGAGTTCATTAAATAAAAAATTTCTTCTCAAGTCTACATATGTATAATCCAGTCAAGAACACAACTAAAATGTCATTTTTAACCATTCCTCCTACATTCTCCGACTAATGCCCCTAAACTAGAGGAACTAACAAAAGGCAAGCAACTAAGCAATCTAAACTAGGCCTTGTTTGGCCTTGCTTTTGTGCCTTCTTTGTGAGCCTTTGGAACCACCTTGTTTTGGCCTTCTCACCACTGAAACTCAGAAGAATTTCAGTGGTGGGAAGGGTGTTTTGAGGTCCCAAATAGGAGAGGGTCATCTCCTCTCCTTGTGTCTTCAATACTTGTCTTGAATGCCTCATGTGTGAGCATGTTTGTTAAGCTTATGTTGGCCATATCTTAGCTTGTATTTGTGGTCTTTTTGCTGTGGCATGCCATT